TATTACATTCATGTTGAGTCGCATACATTGCATTTTTTTGAGATGGAGCTTATGCTCGTTGAGATGGACTGGATTGGCAAATTTTGAGATGAAGGCTATGCCTTATTGATGCCTCTAATAATTGGCAGATTAGATTTTTGAGATGGGAGTTCTGCTCCAATGGTACCACATGCATTTGCATAGTTTTGAGTCGCATTTTTGTGATTGAATAATGAGATGTATTTGATGTTGCTGAATGAATATATATGTTGTATTTATTGTTGATTATGAGATGAGAAGTGGTGATGTGATTGATATAAATTAATATATTAATTATCATGAGCTTTATTATATTGTTAGATATCTCATCCCTTCTGTTTGAATGTTGCCCTTATGTTGGTAACGTGCAGGTAATCGAGAGTGAAGACCGTATACCTTCAATAGATCGAGTCGGTGTCATTGCTTTGATATGTAACACTCGGGGGGATGAACGCTTGCTGATTTTTGATTGCTGATTTTTAGTTGCTGAATTTTGAATTGATTATTATTAAATATGAGATGTTTCGAAGTGGTTGCTTTTATTTAAAGTTGTTATTGAAGAATTCCGCTGCGTAGTTGTTGAATATTTAATGAAAGATGTTATGTTGTTAGTTCATCCAACGTTTTGAATAAGTGTTATATATCTATGATGTATGCAATGAATTTGTTAGAAGAATTTGTGACATTCCAATTCATTTGTATGATTGAAATTTTATAACTCTGATTTATCTTGCATATTTGCTTGGGGTAGAATTGGGGTGTTACACTCACCACCACCATCAGTTTTAAGAATCTTCACAGTCTGGCCACTCTAATTCTCAACCTTCATTCTTAACTTCTTGAGTTCAACAAACACCTCGTGCTTGAACTTGATGAGAGATACCTATGTCATTCTGGTGAACTCGTCAATAAATGACACAAAGTATTCATTCTCTCCAATCGATGTTATTGAAAATGGACCACACACATCAAAATGTACTACTCTCAAGACATACTTTACTCTTAGAGCTACTTCTGATGCAAATGACAATCTTGGTTGCTTCCCTTCCATGCACACCCTGCATGACTTCTCAGGCTTCTTGATTGTAGGAATTTCATGTACCAACTTATTTGATTTCAGATGCCCTAAGCTTCTGAAATTCAGATAACCAAATCTTCTGTGCGACAACTCACTCTCCTTGACAACACTTGTTTCACTAAGGCATTCAGAGTCTGCAGTTCTAACATTCACCTTGAATGTTCTGTTCTTTCCCCGTTCTAACTCCATAATCAGCTTCTGATTACAATCATACAACTTCAGAAGATTGTCCTTCATGGTAACTGAAAAACCTTTCTCAATCAGTTGTCTCACACTCATCAGATTGCTTTCATGCCAGGCACATACCACTCATTCTAGATCACCGCTACTTTCCCATTGTTTAGAATGACTTTGACATTTTACATACCTTCTGCATTGAGGTATTTATCATCAGCACATCTGATCTTTGTACTCTTCCCAGAGTCAAAATCAACCAACCATTTATTGTTTCCAATAAGATGATTTGAACATCCTGTGTCCATATACCACCGTTATAATGAATTCATATAATCAGATTCAAAATCCAACAATAGCACTGATTCATCATTAGACTCTCCTCTGGCTATATTTGCTTCTTTTGACTTCCTTTCTTTGTTTGACCAACAATCTTTGTCATAGTGATCAAAATTATTGCAATAATAACACTGAACATTCTTCTTGTCAAACTTATCCTTTCCCTTCTGGACATTCTTCTGCCTATCAGAGGTTGAAGCTTCTGACCTCTGACCACCATTAGTTTTCTTCTTGGCTTCTGACCAAGTCCGCTTATGATACTTCTTACCAGAAGTTGCTTTCAGAGCCTGCTGCTCTACTTTTCTCTCAGAAGTTCTCTCAGTCATACGTAACTCATGCGCCTCTAGACTACTTTGCAGCTCTTCAACTCTCATGGTACTCAAATATTTGGGATGTTCAATTGCTACCACAATATAATCAAACTGAGAAGTTAAAGATCTCAATATCTTCTCTATGATTACTTGTTCAGAAAGGGTTTCTCCACAAGCTTTCATCTCATTAGTGATCAGAATCACTCTAGAGATGTACTGAGAAACCTTCTCATTGTCCTTCATGTTGAGATTCTCATATTGCTTTCTTAGGGACTAAAGCTTCACATTCTTCTCTGATGCGTCACCACTATAACATCTGACCAGTGTGTCCCATACAACCTTTGTTGTTTCAGAGTCGGTAATCTTCTCAAACACATTCGCATCCACACACTAATGGATGTAGAACAATGCTTTCTGATCTTTCTTCCTTATCTCCTTCTGCATTGTCTTATGTGCCTCCGTCGCGTCTACTGCTAATGAGCATAGCCATCAGTGACAAGATCTAACACATCTTGAAAACCGAACAACACACGCATCTGGATCTTCCAACGATTCTAGTTTTTACCATCAAACACTGGAAGTTTGGAACTGATATCGTTGTTTCCGTTCATCTTCAACCTTATGCAGTTCACTCAAAACACACTAACACACAATATTTCCCAAATCTCACAAAATAAAAAAAATGTGATTCTCAATCACACAACAACTCACTGTTCACTCGTATTTCCCGTGTTTCCACATGGATTTCGAACCGGAGCTCTGATACCATTTATTGGGGGGAGTTACTAGGAACATCGATACATATTGTATGAATAGACACCTTTGTGAGAGACACACAACTTATCCACCTAAAACCTTAAGGTGATATGTGTGTGGGTTCTCCCACTTATACATGCTTGAGTCTCCACACTCATATCCAATGTGTGACTATTTCTCACTTACTCATACTTGCTATATTATTCCAACAATTTGTTGGGGGGAGTTACCAGGAGCATCGATATATAGTGTAGGAATATACACCTTTGTGAGAGACACACCACTTATTCACCTAAAACCTTAAGGTGATAGGTGTATGAGTTCTCTCACTTATATATGCTTAAGTCTTCACATTCCTATCCAATGTGAGACTATTTCTCACTTACTCACACTTGCTATATTATTCAAATAATTTATTGGGGGGAGTTACTAGGAGCATCGATATATAGTGTATGAATAAACACCTTTGTGAGAGACACACCACTTATCCACCTAAAACCTTAAGGTGATAAGTGTGTGAGATCTCTCACTTATATATGCTTAAGTCTCCATATTCCTATCCAATGTAGGACTATTTCCCCACTTACTCACACTTGCTATATTATTCCAACATTTCCCCTCAAGTGTGAGTCTACAATGCTCCCCCACCTGTACCGCTGTTGATATCTTATAACGAAACACCACTTTCCTGGGTGTATTTCGATACAAGTCTTTTTCAGTCCCTTTCTCGAACCAAAGACTCTGATCCCAATTGTTGGTGCACAAGGAGAGATGAAAGACAAAAAGAATATATTAAATGACGACTACAAAATAAAGAGTAATGGATATATTGACCTACTTACTACTAGGCTATTTATACATAAATATTATGGTATAATAAAATACTAAAATACCTTATAATAGACTTAATCAACAAGACAATTCTAAAATATAAATTATTTCCAACAATTACTCTGTCAACGTGTGCAGTTGTGTGTAACTTGACTAGTTGATAATGAAACAATTTCAATATTAGAGTATCTAACCACCTATTTATTTCATTCTTTGTTGAAATTGAATTATCTTGGAGGAAAAGCTGCCTTTATTTGTGTAAAAACTTCAATTATGAACAAGATCATTTAAGAAAAAAAATTTATATGTACTAGTATAATATTTATGAGTGAGTGCTACACAAGTGTTTTAAGATAAAAATAAATGAAACTCATAATTTGGTTGAGAACAAGAGTTGCTTAATACAAAGGTATTTAACCCGCATTTCATCTTTTATAAAACATTAGGTAGCACCCATAACATTAGTGAATAATGTGCTATTAAAAATGAGTGTACAATCCATATCCACATTAAAAGAGAATTTGAGCCATTCTATTTTATTGCATCAAATTCTATTTTTAAAGTAATCCATTTTTTATAAATACAAAATAGTAACAATAACATGAACATAATTTTTACTGCGAGAAAATAAGTTACAACATAAACATATGATGATGAACATAATCTCAGGATAAAAAAAACAATGTTTTTATTGTTGTTAAAAGAGAAAGAGGATGAATTGAGAAATTCGAATAAAATTTCATACTGTTTAACTTAAAAGCAACATGAATGTTTATATAATTCAACTAAACATTAATAACTAACGGGATCATTGTTGAAAGGAAATGATTTTAAGCTTAACTCGAAAAAAAAAAAAAGAAGAAATAAACTTGCATTTAAATTTAATTTATTAATATAAACTTTTTAGTTAATTCTCACTAATAATTCAGAATTCGAGCAAAATATAAATCAATTTTACTTATGATCATTCATCTAAATTTCAAACTCTAATTCTTAAAATTTATTAATCACTTAAGCTTAATCTTAGAAAAAAATGATAGATAAAAAGGAGAGGGAGAGAAAAGAAATTAAAATTAACAAAATAAAAGTAGTGAAAATAATGGGCCCACGACGGGAGCAATAATATACATAGAAGCAAAAAAAGATTTGTAGCTTTCATCTTGTGGTAACCCTAAAACGAAAACTGTGTGATCCTTCATTATACACGCCTCTTTTTCTTTCTTCTCGTCGATGCTCCGTCTCGCTTATACCAAAGCTCAAACGGGGAGGGTTCCTTTGTTAATTGCTCTCTCTTTCTCTCCCCTTCAAACCCCTTTCCCCTTTCATGTCTTCAATTACCGCCTCTGCTCTTCCAGGGTCTCCAAAAACCCTACTTTTTGATTCCGATTTCCCTCCCTTCTCTATACTCAACAAACCTTCCCCTCTCTTTCTAACTCTTCTATTCATATTCAATTTTACCTTATTGCCTCTTCAACTTCCCTCTCTTCACCAACATGAGCAATTCTAAGGTTCCATTCTTCTATATTACGCTTTTTTTGTTTTTATGTCATATTCTTTTTTGAAACTGAAAACAATTGGTCAAAGGAGGTTTTCTCATCTTAATGTTCTCTTGGTTTCATCTTGTTTTTTCATTTGGATCTCCTGTTTCACTTGGCGGTGTTAATTGCTGTCTATAATGATTGTGACTCGTCATGAATGCATTAATGCCTAATTAGGGTTTTCTTATTATTAATCTTTTTGTTGTTCTTTTAATGTTTTTTGTGGCTTTGTTATATATTGTTTTGTTTTTGTTCCAAATGGATGTTGAATTGTTTTAATGCCTCAAATGCTAATTTTGTTTTTGGGTTTGTGAGCAGGTTCTACTCTTTGGCTCATTTACTGAAGATGAAACCAAATCTTTGAGGATAAATAAGTCTACTGGGAGAAATGATAAGCCTGTTGAGAAGAATCAGCTGCAATTTGATTCTCTGAATTCTGTTGTTGAATCAAGCAACCTGCCCAAGTCACCAAAAGCAGCAAAACATTTTCCTCTCCCTGATTCTCAGAAACTTAATGGAGTGAACAACATACCTAAGGTATCCGAAACTATTAAAGAAAATGGCAGTATTACTAAATTCTCTCCTACTCTCTCAGGTATCACCACTGCAAACAGTGTTAAAGAACATTGTATGCGATCTGTTGAACCACTTGATGAAAATGGTACTGCCAACCATTTTACAAATTTGAGCCTGGATGCTTCAGGGACTGCAAGTTTCAAGAGTGCCTTAAAAAATGGCAGTGGTGACGATACTTCAAAGTTATTTGATCAAAACTTGAAAAAGGCACCTAATGGACATGCTGTTATGGATGTTAAGGAACTGCTGCCTCGAGGCCTTATTAACTCTGGGAATTTATGCTTCCTTAGTGCAACCGTGCAGGCTCTATTGGTTTGTTCTCCTTTTCTTCAGCTTTTGCAGGAGTTAAGAACTCGCAACATTCCTAAGGTAGTTTTTCTTCTGCTGCAAATATCAATTAATACTGCTGTTTGATAATTTTAGATTAACTCATGGGCAGCAGCATGGCCATCAATGAACACATATAAAAGCTGAATTACAAAGTTAAATTTAGAATACAACTTTTCTTATAGATATTAAATTGTTGTATGTGTTTTGGCTTCCCTTGTAACTAGAAAAGATCAGAAATTGATATTGCGTGCTTATTACCGTGTAACTTTTTAGGTTGGCTATCCCACGCTTAAAGCATTTGCTGAGTTTGTAACTCAATTTGACATGCCAAGCGGAATAATATTAAAGAAGAAAGATACAGATTCTTTTGAGTTTGGACGGGCATTTTGCCCTGTTATGTTCGAAGATGTTCTGAAAAATTTTACCCCGGATGTGCCAAATAGCATTTCAGGAAGACCAAGGTTGGTGACAATTTGATTTTTAATTTAATGTTTATTTTATGTTACTCTTCCCTGCCTTAGAAGATGAATTTTCAAATATGTCCATTCCCTAACCAGTTTTTTCATCCGAGTCATTGAATTTCTTGACTCAATCAGTATATTTTTGGACATGTCATGAAAACCTATGTGCATGCTAATTGTTAAATTTGTTACGGGCATATATGGTGACCATTTTAAACTGTAATCATGTATTACAACCATAGGTTTTCTACATGAATATAACTGAGAAATGGTATGTTTATAAGTCTTCAGCAGCATATCTATACAGGGACTTGATTGTAGTTTTCTATAGAGAATTACAATTGTAGCACCCCTTTTTTAGGAGTTTGCATTTATAGATACAACCTACAATAGCTTTTCTTCTTCTTCCTTTTATATATTTCTATTATTTATACAAGTATACGATTATTTAATAAACTTTCGTGTTCTGGAATTTATACACCCATTCAGCAAGTAATTTGGTTATTTGTAAGGCTGCAATGCAGTCACGTGCTTAGGTATGATGTAATTGGTTCTGTGATATTAACTTGTAATTTTAATGATATTCGTGATAACAATGTGCCACTTTCAGGCAAGAAGATGCTCAGGAATTTCTGAGCTTTGTTATGGATCAAATGCATGACGAATTACTGAAGCTTGAAGGACAGTTTTCAAGTCTTAATGGTAGCAAATCTTTTCTAGTTTCTTCCGTGGAAGATGATGAGTGGGAAACAGTGGGGCCAAAGAATAAATCTGCTGTTACAAGGACTCAGCGCTTTATTCCCTCAGAGTTAAATGATATTTTTGGAGGACAACTCCAAAGTTTGGTTAGAACTGAAGGTATAAGATATACCTTACATATCATGTGCTTAGTGAAAGAATTCATTTTTTGTCTTTACTTATTATAATATGTCCATCAAGATGTTGCGGAATTTCATCTGGTCTGTCTGTCACTTCTGCTTCATTATGTTTTGTAGTTGTGACTTGTGATTTGGAAGTCCCACATTATTTTCTCTAGCTGCAAGTCACCAACATTGCTATTTTTATATCCGAGCTTTAGGGATGAAAAGGAAAAATATTTTGAGCTTATAGTTGATAACTTATTGCTTATAAAGCTCATGAGACCAAAATAGACCTATCTGTTAACAATTTGTTTCCCACGAGCTTATGACTTTTTTTACTAGCTTATAGCATTTTTGTATAAGCCACTTCAAGTAGCGTTTGATCATATCTTCTCTTTTTTTTCTTCTTAATTTTACCTTTACTATGTTTTGTAGTTGTGACTTGTGATTTGGAAGTCCCACATTATTTTCTCTAGCTGCAAGTCACCAACATTGCTATTTTTATATCCGAGCTTTAGGGATGAAAAGGAAAAATATTTTGAGCTTATAGTTGATAACTTATTGCTTATAAAGCTCATGAGACCAAAATAGACCTATCTGTTAACAATTTGTTTCCCACAAGCTTATGACTTTTTTTACTAGCTTATAGCATTTTTATATAAGCCACTTCAAGTAGCGTTTGATCATATCTTCTCTTTTTTTTCTTCTTAATTTTACCTTTAATACCTTGATTAAAAATTATCTTTTTATGTCATTTCATAATTATCAACTAGTTCAACCACTATTTTTTCAAACACTACACATTCAATCAGTTGGCTAGCGCATTCACTATTAGATAGTTGATATTTTCTTATGAACATATCTTAAATAAAAACAATCATGTCCATATGATGTATTTTTTCCCTCTTTTTAGGAAATAGATCTGCCACTGTTCAACCATATCGCCTGCTTCATCTTGACATTCACCCTGATGCTGTTCACACCATTGAGGATGCCCTGCACTTGTTTTCTGCACCAGAAACTCTTGAAGGGTACCGAACATCAGTCACTGGAAAGGTATCTTCCCTTCTAAATACATTATTATTAATGCTAGCATTTACAACTTTCATAAGGAATAAGGATTTGATGCACGCATGGATTATTCTAGAGAGTTGGCATTTCCTACTCTGGGTTGTTAGGTATGTGGCACACATGGCCATCTACTTCAGTTAAAGTATTAGCTTTATCCTATCAAGTATCAACCCAGTACCTGAATTCATACATTTATCTGCGTGATACAGTCAGTGGAATTGCAACTGATTTCAAAATGATGTATTCGCAATGCAATTTATGGAGGAGTCCCATGAAATGGTGGCGACATTGTAACTACCGTGTTGCCTTTTATGGTCTTCTTATCTGCATACTCCCCATTAGTAATTAGTAGTTTTGCAGCATAGGAAGTCCAAATATTGGTAATCGAAATGAAATAACTGCTTTGTACTGGACAATGATGTCCTATGGTTGTGCTGGGTAATATTTTATGTATTACTGCTAATAAAATTGATATTTTATTTCAGGCTAGGACTGCAAAAAAATCCATACAGATACAGACACTTCCTAAAGTAATGATATTGCACTTGATGCGTTTTGGTTATGGAAACCAGGGAAGCACCAAGTTGCTTAAGCCCGTGTACTTTCCTCTTGAGTTGGTATTGGGTCGTGACCTGCTCGTTTCACCATCAACCGAGGTATGTCTCATTATTCCAGTCCATACATCTTGAACATAAATAAAAATGACTTTTTTCTGGATTATGATGCTAAATGCAAGCTTCCTTTTCTGGTTGCTAGAGTACAACCTACTTTATTCTTAATGATGCACTTCTAATTTTGTGGGAATTAACTTTACAGTATTGAGTTAAGATTTGTTAAAAATTTCCTTTACACAATTATAATTAGGATAACCTTTTTTTTAAAAATAACATGACTTGTCTTTGTTATCGTTGCTAAGTACTGTACAATGCATCATAGGACTCTCCCTATCATTCTGGAAGATATATTAAAAATATAGTAGGATGGGTGGCTGTTTTTCTTGTGCATTTCTCTTTTTTTGAATTAGTAAAAAGAATTTAGTAGCACAAGGGTAGAACAGCTGTCATGAGTAGGAGTTTCTGGCCCGTTCTTAAACAAGTATTTCAATGACTTCAGACCACAAGTTGTTTTATATCAGAGTATTTATTTACTTTTTGTGATATTTTTATGCTCGTGCTGCTGACTTGTTAACTTAAACTTGTTGGCACAAATAAGTTGCTTGGCTTTTGTTAAGCAATCATCAGAGTATTTTGGATGAAAAATAAATAAATCTGCCGGGAGAATTTTGCCTCTTAAAAGGGTGCTCAAAATTCAAGTTAGTCAAAATCTAATGCAGCCTTTTTTATTATAAGTTGCTTTGGAAAAAAATTATATCAAATAAGTCGTTTTACAATACCAATGAATTATTAATGTTATTTTTCCTTTTATACCGCTAAATGTTTATTATTCTCTCTTCTTTCAATTATTTAAATTGTTATTTTTCCTTTTATACCGTTAAATGTTTATTGTTCTCTCTTCTTTTAAATTTATCTTTCCCATACAAATAATGAACAATTTTGTAAAATAATTTTATTCTCTCTTTTCCATACAACAATGATTACATTTTTTAATACGTGTGAAATTGTCAAAATCACTTGCCTTAAACAATTTTAATTAGACATCGGAGGCTTAATGGTCATAATTGAAAGAGGGCATCAATTTTGAGCGACTTTTAATGCTTCTGCAGGGTCGAAAATATGAGCTTGTTGCTACAATTACTCATCATGGAAGGGAGCCTTCAAAAGGACACTACACAGCTGATGCTCAGTACCCAAATGGTCGGTGGCTACGATTTGATGACGCATCTGTCTTTGCCATAGGAACAAATAAGGTGCTGCATGATCAGGCCTATGTTCTTTTCTACAAACAGATATAAGCATATACATATTGATCTGTTGATATCTACTCCCTTTTGCATTTAAGAAAGGGTTGACAGTTGATTAATGTATTGCATGGACAATATGTTGATATCTACTCCCTTTTGCACTTAAGAAAGGGTCATATATGTTTTGTTCCAGTCTAGGGTGTGATAAAAGTAATTGTTGTAACATTCTTTTTCTCTGTTATCTAAACCATGAAAAGTTTTGTAGTCCTAGTCTGAACATGAGATCATGTTACAGTTAAAGGCGTCTAAGACATACTGCTTATTGTAAAGTTTGACTAGCTTGCAAGAAATTGGGATTCAAAGATATGATATAAAGCTTTCTTCACCTTTGACTTGTTTGACGTTGGTTGTTGATTTTGTACCAACTGTTTCAGTTTCGCGTGGGCTAACTAATGATGACCCATTAGTTTGGTGCATGATTTTTTGTTAAGCTATTGTTCAGATTTTTCTGGGTGATTGTTATTAAATATATCCTTTAACTATGCAAGAAGCCGGTTTAAGCTAATCTCACACCTTTCAACCGTTCAAATGTAATTCAAACTAATGAGTTAGTCGAGTTATAACGGCTTGGGGGCTCAAATTAGTGATGTGTATGAGTAATCACTTGGTGATCATGAATAAATAAGTGAAATTCAAATAAAATTTCTCTGTTCCTTGTGTTTCTTTGATCAATAAGTTTGAACAAGTGGAATCTAACTTCAATGCCTCCAGCCTTAGGTTTTGATCATTGAGCCAAGATGACAAGTTCCTTAGAGAAACTTGATAAATTTGATGGGAAGCTACTAGTTCTTGATGACACTCTTCATTCCTCTTTATGTATCCCACTTGAAGTCACATCAACAATAACACATAAATTCAATATAGATTATCGAAATCGAAATTACATAGTTAGTTCAATAGAAATTTAATATTACATATTGTTATAAACAAATAGACGAGGATGTCGTAACATTTTGATAACATCTTTTGATTTTTGAAATTTTGCATCCACCTCAATCAGACTCTTAGAAGAGTATCGTTGAAAAATATTTCACATAACAGTTAAATCGTCACCGTTCTTGATCTTAAATGGGGTGAACTTTATATTTCTTTCAGTGTCAAGTGAGAGTGAACGTTACTCAAGCTTGACCACTTTTCGGTTATCTGGATATTGCAAGAGATAATTCAGTGTGACAATCAGTTCGGGGAACGACGTGTCCTGCAAGAATTTGAATTCAAGTGGTAAAAACAAGGTGTAGATATGTTTGTGTCATTTCTCTTTGTGCTCTGCGATGGAGAATGAAATGGTTTGAAGGCCCTATTTATAGACTTTTTGGAGCAATTTGGACCCAAGAAATCTTATCCTGCTATTAGGACTTACTTCGGATATGAACATCCAAATTAACCTTTTTTTAATCAAAATAAGCGGTATTCAGATATGCACGTTCGAAATCACCACTTTTTTTTTATATAAAAATAGAAGGTTAATTAGAAAGTACATCCGAAATAATCTCTATTGTGTTCTTTTCAAAAATAGAAGATTTTTTTGGACGTGCATATCCGAAATATGCAGAATCAGAATCAGTATCATTATTAGCATAATTAATATCAAAGAGACATGAAAAAAATAAAACCGGTAACAATAAATAATGGTATATATATATATATATATATATATATATATATATATATATATATATATATATATATATATATATATATATATATATATATATATATATATATATATATATATATATATATATATATATATATATATATATATATATATATATTACATCATGCACGATAATACATTCAAAAAATTATTTGATTATATTCTAAATGTATCGAACGAATTGTCATCGATTCTTTCTTCTACTTCTCCATATTTGATTCTCTCAAGCTCCATCAAATTGGTGAACTCTGCCATCCTTTCCAAAAAGTGATATGACCAATTTTCCGTCGCTTTTGGGGAATATGCCGCCCACTCCATTGATGTAGTCGAAATAGGACACCCTAGTTTCAAATAAAGCCGAATAAAATGTCTTGATCTAAGGTACCCAATACACACGATGCAGGCAGATGGGTATTTAGGCGGGGGAGTCCGAAGTGGAATTTTTTTTCCGACAAACCATATCTCGTCAAATCGATACACACCTTCTCATCCATTTTTCAACTAACGCGCGATCCATCAACAAAGTCTTGCATATATCCAATGTCCATGTAACGTTGTCTTCTTTCTCAGATTCTAAAAAACTGAATCCAATCTAAAATGTCTTGTCCGTAGATGTGACACCAACAATTTCTAAAAGCGGAAATTTGTTGAACAACTTGATATTTTCTGGATGAGTCCAAAATATATCACGAATAATAACGTCCTCACAAACTCGGTACCTTGGAGCGTAGTGGTTATCGTCCAAAAGTTTCAAAAGATGTATTTCGGACCTCAGACCTCTTTGCGCAATGTTTTTATGATAATGTTCATTGTATACCTACTTGATATTTGAAGCACTTTGTGGTCTTTTCAGTTTCAATGAAGAAAGTATGTTTCTCGGCGCAACTTTGATTAACGATAACTCTAAAATATATTCCTTCTCTCCCGAGTTAAGCCGACATACAATGGGATGCCCTTGTAGCTTGGTGTCCAACGCATGATTATGCGTACCAGAAATGACATTAAACCTTCACAAATCAACAATCCTACAAGATGCACACAATTTAAATGGACACTCTCATTTTCTCAAACTCGTGTCGTCATGTTTTAACTTTTGAGTTTTTGCAACATATTTTCTATTTCTCTCGCATGTCATCACAACAAATGCTTGTCTTCTACTACTGCTATTGTCGGACCTTCAAATCACAACGCTAAATCCAAGTTTGCTAGCTTCTATTCAGACCCATTAGAGCATATGTTGACGAGGGGTCAAACTTTTTTCATTTGTAAATTATTGTCGAACATCTATCACAATATCAATCGTTTTAATATCGTCCTTCACTTCATTCGACTTATCATCTTCATTGACCTTGTCCGAAACCTTTAAGACAACTTTGAGAATCATGTCGGGGTACACCATATCTAACAAGTGCAAAAAATAGAAATTCGGTTAAAACATAATTCTTTCTCTAACAGAGATGATTTCATATATATATATATATATATATATATATATATATATATATATATATATATATATATATATATATATATATATATATATATATATATATATATATATATATATATATATATATATATATATATATCCGAATTATGACATGTTGAATTCAGATATGTATATTCGAAGTGATACTGTTTTTTTCATCTCAAAATCAACATCAATGCAAGGAATGTGAGATGAAATGAGAAAACTTTACCTCAAATTGCAACTTTCTATGCTCTCTTTGCTATGATCAAACACTTGAAACTTGGTTTGGAGACAAAAAATTAATTGAGAATGATTGAAGTTTTGTGAAGGATTTTGGTTATGAGGGGAGGAAGTAAATGAAATAGTTATAGGGGTGACCATGCAACAAACTTATATAGTAAGGGTAGTTTCAGATATACACATCTGAAATTACCTTTGACATTTTAAATCCAATGTTTAAATAATAAAACGTTGAAACAAGAGAAATTCAAATATGCACATCCGAGATATCTTAAAAATGTGATTTAAAGTGCATTCAGATATGCATATTCGAAAGGTATTTTAGAATTTTTAGAGGTGTTTTTCACCCTATAGGAGTGACTTAAAAAATTTCCATGAATAAATTAGGTGAAAAATTAAGTGTTGGTAACTATATCTTGAATGAATTAGATTCAACCCATTAACTAATTTTATAACTAATGGATGAATTAGGTGGAAATTTGGGTGTTGGTAATTATATCTTAAATATTTCTTTCAAACTCCATAAGTCTCAACCAAACTCTATAAGTCTCAGCGTGTACCTTGTTATATATATGGTTTTATACAAAAATGATTAAAAGAGTTTGTCCAATGAGACCATTCAACAATGTAAAATCTCACAATGGAATAAAACTCCCCCTATAATTTTAATTAATAATAATAATTCGTTCGGCCTTTTAGAAACAACCCTTCAAGTTGCGAATTTTTATTCACTTTATCATTTACTAATTCATAATAAGATTTCAATCATTACAAATTTGCAACTTGACAAATTAACTGAAATTTTTTAAGTAATAAAATATTATTTAATAGACGAAAATGAGAAAAATTTTAAACAGTAATATCGTTTTGAATCCATTCCATTTGAATTGGTTTTTTCTCCATCATTTTTATTGTGAAAAACTTTTACAATAATAAGTCTTGGACAATTTATTTGTGAAAATATATGTATAGCTAAAATGAAAAATGGACCACACCTAAAACTAAAATCGGTAGTTATAAAAATTCAAATGGATTCTGTAATAATAAGATCGACTAATCCTTATTTGGTGACTCCAGAAGCAACCATTTACGACCATTATGGAGAGATCCTTTCTCAACGAGATATTTTAGTTACATTCATATATGGAAAATCGAGATCCGATGATATAACATAAGGTTTTCCAAAAGTGGAACAAATATTAAAAATATGTTAGATTGATTCAATATCAATGAATCTGGAAAAAATAATTGATGTTTGGAACGAGTGTATAACAAAAATTCTCGGTATTCCTTGGGGATTCTTGATTGGTGCTGAGCTAACTATAGCGCAAAGTCGTATTTCTTTGGTTAATAAAATCCAAATGGTTTATTGATCCTAGGGAGTACATATCCATAATAGATATATCAAGATTATTGTGCGTCAAATAACATCCAAAGTCTCAGTTTCTAAAGATGGACTGTCTAATGTATTTTACCTGGTGAACTAATTGGATTATTGCGAGCAAAACGAAAGGGGGCGTGCCTTGGAAGAACCCATTTGTTATCAAGCTTTGTTATTGGGAATAAAAAAAATATATGAATACTCAAATTTTCATATCTGAAGCGAGTTTTCAAGAAACTACT